AGAGCTTGAACAATTTTGTGCAAAAAATAAATATATTTGATAATTTCTCTCTCCGTCCGTTTAGAGATATTATTATTATCATTTATTATTATCGTTCTTCTCCTTTCTTTATTATTATTACTTTTATTATTATTATCAACTATTGTTTTCTCTTATATTGCCATTTAATTTATATTTATTCATTATTATTTTTATTTTTCCATTTCTTTTTTCTCTCTCTCTTTTCTTTCTGTCGTACAAAGAGTTAAATACCACCGTGAAGATTGGTGAGAGCTGTCTGTTTCAATGAAAATATGAACGCAGCCGTACGAATTCGCTTCGGATATACGCGCAAACGTGCCAGCGCAGTTCCAACAAAGCGAATATATTAAACAAGAACGGAAGCGGTCTGTTTGCAAAAGAAAAGCTGTGGGAGCTGGCAGTTTGCGAGCAGTCCACAAATTCGCAGCGGCGATGGCTGTTTGTCGAGTTCCCTTTCGGTCTGCGTTGGGATCGATCTGCACGACAAAGAAGTTCGACCAGTTGGTTTGGTCGAATCTCTCCGAGGATTTTCCGCGAGCTTTAAACAAGGAAATCGTCTTTCGCAACTGCGTACACACGCCCCGCTCATAGGCCGCAGAAAGTTCTCGGCGATGTAGTACATAGCAGGTTGTTGACACACCGGGGAACTACTACATACATCGACCGTGAACATGTTCAAAGCCGCCGTATGAAATCCGAGATTCCTCGTAAACGATGAAATATTTATTCGGCAGTCGCATCGCGCGATCTTGTCCACCCACGCTTCTCTCTTCGGGCGAACGCTCGGAGAGATCTGTTTGAAATATTTATTACCGAAAGAATCGCGCGCGCGCTTGCCGTTGCCAAAACGAAAACACACATCTATAGCCGGCTTTTTGAAAATGCAGTACACCGATTCGAAAAGCTAATTTTACTGCTCCGGTGCCACGCTTGTTAGTATTATAGCTCATTGATAGCTCGTTGAATCTGGTGCTATACAACGTTCTACAATATACGGTGCTAAAGCAATTTTTTATGTGAAGGTGTCAGTCTGCATTAATCGCAAGATGCAGGAACTACGGTAGACATTTGTTTCTTTCGAAATTTCGAAATTTTCGAATTGTTTAAATCTTTTTGCTGTTTTGCATTTGATATATTTTCTATAAAACGTTACAAATACAAGCATATGCAACAATGCGCGATAATGATTCCTCTAGTCAAGCCATAACTTCAATTCTGTTCAAATAGTTGAAATATTGAAATATGTAATAGTCAATACAGTCAATATAATCAATACAATATAATAGTCAATACAGCCAATATAATCAATGTATTTTAATAGTCAATACAGCCAATATAATCAATATAATATAATAGTCAATACAGTCAACATAATCAATATAATATAATAGTCAGTACAGTCAATATAATATAATAATCAATATAGTCAATATAGTTAATGTAATATAATAGTCAATTCAGTCGATACAATATAATAGTCAATACAGGCAATACAATATAAT